GCTACGACTTCGGAACTGTCTAGACTCCTACTCTATAGGTCTACAGTTCGATTCCCTTCTACCCTGTGACCTACGACAAATTGCCTACCACTGGCATTCCTACAGGTTGCAGGTTCAAGTCTACGGGTTGACACTGATACTGTACACAGGTAAGACGGGGATCTAGGGATCGAGCCCTGGGATCTACATTCGCTACCGCGAACTGGTGAATACCGTTTCACTCCCGCCGTCCTAAATTCAGGTCCTCCGAGAAAATTTCAGTCCAAGGCAGGACCTTTCCCCTTTTGCTGTCTCTCGTAGGCTCGGACTATATCGGGAGCGGTTGTCTTCTGGTTCCTGATAACTAAAATGAACCTTATACTGTTTCTGCGGACGACCCCTACCTCCAGTTCTGAAGACATCTTCAGCCACTATACCATCTATGTCATATCTTCCATCCATATCCGGTGGGATCATTGATCTACGGGATGGAAACTGATCACTTGTTTGACAAGGTAGTAACTTCGATGCGTGGAAAACTGGGTAAGTGTGGAGGTGTGCTGGTAACTCTATGGTGTAGGACGGTCCATCTTCGCCGCCCTTGACTTCCAGAACAGGCCACGATCCTCTATATGTGGGCAGTAACTTCTGCGAGATGTTCTCCTCAGGTGCAAACTCTTTAGAACTAACCCAGCCTAAGTCGCCTACCTGAAACTGTGAAGGGCGACGATGTTTGTTCGCTTGCTCTATCATCCTATGCTGGGCTTTCCTGAGGTTTTCTACGACAGTAGCTAGTTCTTTCTCGTGCTGTACAGCAAACTCCCTGGTCCCGGGCGGCAATCTATGAATCTGATCCCGGTTGAGCCCCTCAAACGGTCTGCGCGGTCGAAAGGACTTGTGCAGTTCGTTGGGAGTGCGGCATGTAGACAAATGCACTGTTATTGTACGCACTAGCTACTTTGGGCAACATCTCATCCCAGTTAATCTGATCCGGCCTAATATACATGCGCAGAACTTGCTGTAGGATCTTGTTCATTTGCTCTGTCTGACCGTTAGTCTCTGGATGACGGCCGGACGACATCAAYAACTTAGATYCATATACTCCCATGAGTTCTTGCCAGTTCTGGCTGGTGAAGCGACTATCTCTATCGCTAACTATTGACAGCGGGATTCCATTCTCACTAACCCAACAGTCAAAGAATCTCTGTATGACTAAATCAGTGCGTGCCTCTAAAGGCAAAGGAACAAAAGCTGCGTATTTACTAAATCGGTTAACTATGACCATGACTTGGCTCTTGCCATGCCTGCTCTTGACTTGAGTGTCCATGAAGTCGATGGACACTGAGTCCCCCGGCTGGTCCGGAATGGGCAAGGGTCTGAGAAGACCTAGCGGGGCGCGCGTAGAACTCTTGTTACGCTGGCAAACCTTACAACTGCGAACATACTCTACGCAGTCATTCTTCATCCCTGGCCAGGTATATGCGCGCATTAGGTTGGCTAAAGTCTTCTGCAACCAAAATGACCCTCTGTGTCGTGGCATTCTCCCAAGATCAGACTACGGATCTCTTCGCTATTGGGAATGCACAAGCGGTCAAAGACATTAGTCTTCTCAAATAGCAACCCTTCAGTAGTGCGGTAGTTCGGCTCAGTCTTTGGGGCCTCTTTGACTTTCTTAAGGAGGTCACTATAGATAGGATCCTGCGCGTACGCTTCTTTAACCCTCTGATGCAGGTCCTTCCCTATATCAAGATAGTGCACTATCACCCCAAAGTAATCAGCCCTTCTACTCAGAGCATCCGCGACTACGTTGTACTACCCTTTGACAGGCTTGAGCTCGAAGTCGTACTGATCTATCTTTGCGGCCCACCTAGTAAGCTTAGGTGTCATCTTGGCCTGCGTCTTTAACCATCGTAGCATTTCATGGTCAGAATAGACTTTGAAGTGCCTCCCAAGCAAGTAGTGCTTCCAGTGGTCTAACGCTTGCCTGAGAGCGTAGAGTTCCCTCTCATAGGTAGATGTCGCGACCTTCATTGAAGGCATCCTGGCAGACATAAACTCTACGGGTCCATACCCATTGCCATCGTCTTGCTGCAACACCGCGCCTATGCCGTACTGGCTAGCATCCGTAGTGACGACAAAAGGCAAGGACGGTTCGGCTACCTTAAGGACCGGGTACTCTATCAACGCCTGCTTCAACTTTTTCATGGCAGACGTGCAGTCCTTGTCCCACTTCCAAATGGTCTCCTTCCTAAGTAATCTGCGAAGGGGCGCAGCGATAGTGGAGAAGTTCCTCACGAACTTCCGGTAGTAATTAGCTAAGCCCAGGAACGAGCGCAACTCTGTCAGCGTACGTGGCGTGGGCCAATCTCTAATCGCTGCGATCTKGCTATCCTCTGGCTTAACGCCGTCTCCGTCTAAGACGTGGCCTAGGTACAAAACTTGGGTCTTCGCCCAATCGCACTTCTTTGCATTGATCTTGAAGTTAGCTTCCCTCAGTTTCTCCAAGACCTGCCTGAGATGACCCTGATGCTCTTCAAGGGTCCGGCTAAACATTAGGATGTCATCTAGGTACACTACAACAAACCTGTCTAACCACGGCCTAAACAAATCGTTCATGCAGCGCTGGAACGTAGCTGGCGCATTGGTTAGTCCAAAGGGCATCASTATGAACTCGTAGTGCCCATATCTAGTCCGGAAGGCTGTCTTATAYTGRTCATCAGRATGCACCTCTATCTGATGATACCMGGACTTCAAATCTATCTTGGAAAAATACTTCGCCCCYTGCACTCGATCTAAGAGATCGTCTATCCTAGGCAGTGGCTCAGCATTCTTTACCGYAATAGCATTCAGACCCCTATAGTCTATGCACATTCTCAGCTCTCCCTCTTTCTTAGGGACAAAGAGGACAGGCGCTCCGAAAGGAGACGAACTGGGCCTAATCCAACCCTTCTCGAGGAGCTCGTCTAACTGCTTGCGAAGCTCCTCTAACTCCTGCGGGGACATCCTGTACACCGCACCCTTAGGAGTTCTACTGCCAGGCTCTATCTCAATACGGTGCTGGATGGGCCGCGGCACCGTGCCTGTCGGCGGCTCAGTCAAATCTCCAAACTCTTCCAGCAGCTTGGCAATCGCAGGGTCCATCGGCCTTTCTTCCGTAGGCTCAGTCACTGGCCCAACATAGGCAACAAAAACTTGTTCCTCCAACTTCTCCTTTTTCACCAGTCTGGCGAACGCGGGGGCACTAAGGCAGCAATGCGCCAAGGAATTCTCTACCCCTGACACATGGAACAGGCGGGCAGTCTTAGCCTCGCCTGACGAACTAGGGAGCCTACACTCGTGCTCCTTCAAATGGAGCGTGGCCCCGACTGCCTCTCCCAAATCCATTCCCAGAACAATATCAAAGGGGAGGCTATCTTCTACGAGAAGAGTCAGGGAGTGGAGAATCCTTTCCACATTCCCATCTTTCTCTAGGCGGAAATACGCCTGGACTCCCTCTACGTAATCCTCTACAACCATAGTGCGATTGTCCGCGAGGATACTAACTATAGGGTCTGCTAGCTTTTGGACCTTAAGTCCCAGCTTCAACTTCTGCAGCGCTTTCTTACTAATATAGTTGTGGGTGGCCTCTGAGTCTACTAGGGCCCCTACTCTACTTCTAAAAACCTTTGTATCTAGCAATATAAGTTGCCCTTTATTCTCCTTCTTCATCTTGGCCCAGGCGGGCATCCTCTCCTTCAATTCTTCGGCCACGCCTGTGAGGGAGGTGTCTAGCGAAACTCTAACACAAGCCGTTTCGGGACAGCTGTCTAGACACCGGCCTGCAACCTCTGCCGTAGGCACATGTGGTGTGGGAGTCTCTTGCCGGCTAGCGCTATTTTCCCCACATGGGAGCCTCTACAGTTGTCTCTTGCCGCGAGGATACTAACTATAGGGTCTGCTAGCTTTTGCTACCCCTACCGGCGGCTGCCTTTTGGCCCTTGGGCAGCCGTTCGAGTCTCTCTATACTTAGGACAATATTTGATGATRTGGCCCGGGTCACCGCAGAAAATGCACTGGCCCCGGTCCAATCGTTGTTGCCATAAAACCTGGTCCAGACCCAAAGATTCCCAAGGCCTACCCTGCGGTAGCCCTGGGTGCCATCCTCCTACTCTATAGGGAGACCTATTCCTAGGACGGTTTTGCGAGGGAACTTGACCCCTGCCTCCCGCTTGGTGGTTTCCTCCTCTGCCGCCAACCCCCTGATCGCCCTGGAACCGGTTCCCTGAGGCCCGGCCCCCTTGGCCCTGGCCTCTTTCTCCTTGCGGCCTCCCTCCAGCCGCGACAGCAGCGTAGGATCTCCCCTGGCTCACACCGCTGTCCTCCTCCTCTAGCCCCCACTCAATCTAATCGTAGGGGATCTCATCCACACTACCCTCGTCTAAGGTCAGGACAAGGCTATCCTTAGTCTTCACTTGCCCGGAAATAGTGCGGCCCTTCCATTGCTTTCCCTTATCCACGTCTTTGTGCCAGAAGGTGGACACAGACGCAGACTTGGCTTCAAAAGCCACCACTTCACGACTAAGAGAATCATACGTAGTGGCAGGGTCTTCGCTCTTTGCGAAGAAATGCCCTCGAAGGGCTTCGGGTATGGCCCGGTAGAAGAGGCCGACCAACTGGGTGTCCGTAACCCCATGGTCCGGGACAGCCACCAACTCATCCATGATACTCTTGAGTGCCCTGGCACTCTTCCATTTGCGGGCGTGGATCGTCTGCAGCCTATCTGACGCTTTAACACTACGAGCGATATCAGCAAATCGCTCGCGCAGCAATTTCAGGAACTCAACGAGGGGGGTGAATGTGGAGTATGCAACTGGATCGTCACTGTAGTTGGCAGCGCGAACAAGGGACCTTGCAAAACTAGCGGCCTCATCCTTAAGCGCGTGGATCGCAATTAGGACCTGCTGGTCCGGGGAGACCTGTTGCAAATGCACATAGGTCCTAACATTGGCCTCCCAATTGTCGAAGTTCTCTTCCCTTTTTCCACTGTAGGAATCAGGGAATTTGACTTTTACTGGCTCCCTGCGAGGACGAGTTTCCTCCTCCTTGGGAGCTGCCACCTTGACGCCCTCAATGGCGCCGACRCAAAAACGCTCAGTCTTCTTGAGGCGGTGACTCACCTCGGCCCCCACAGCGCCTACTAACTCACGAGCAAAGTCCCGTAATCCTGTTCGCATCGAGCGCACCGATATCTCCTGGCTGCGACTAAATTCATAGTGCTTTTCTTGCACCTTAGCTACACGCTCCACGCTCTGGGGGAAGATCTCCACCTTCCGTTCGAGATCTACCTGGGGTGTCAATTGTAATCTCAATTTCTGCGCCTCCTCCAATTCCTCTATTGCTGCATTCGCCGCCTCCACTCTTCTCTTCTTTTCCCTCATCATCGCGAGTTTCCACGCCATCCTCTGTTCATCCTCCATCGCCCGCCGCGTCAAAACATCTTCCTCTGCTTCCCATTTTTTCATGGCGGCTTCTTGCTCATCCTTGGGGATGTACATAGCAACCTCTTCCTCTTCACCCATGGACAAGTTGGTGACCCATTCTGAAATCCGCTTCTCCATTTCTTCATCCTTGCTGCCACTGTGCTGCCCACTCTTCCTTTGCAGTGGCGGTCCTTCCTCTTCTTCCTCGTCCACCTCTTTCAACTTCGCCTCCTCTTCCTTCTTTATTCTCTCCTTCTCTTTGGCCATCTCTTTTTCTATCTTCTTCAATTTGGCCGCCTGCTCCTCCTTCAAGGCCTTCTTCTTGGCCTCCTTCTCCTTCCTCTCCTGCAGGATGGCGACCATCTTGTCCTCCTCCTCCTTCCTGTATGGCTGGGTGGAAGTACCACCATGAGTGGGCCCTTCTCTACACGTGAAAGTGGGCCAAAAGCCCAGGGGGAAGAGGAGACGCCAGAGGGTCCCCCAGAGTCCATTGTGGCGTCAGGTGCACGACATTGTCCCATTCCTTACCACTTAGACCTACCCAGACACACTGACCTACTGACTGACTCTCTAAGATCCACTACTCACAACTATTCTAAGGCTGTCACTACAGAACCCAAGCTGATCAGGAGGTGTTTTAGAAGATCCCCCAAACTTCGCAAGAATTATTTAACGTCGCAGACAGGACGATGTGATCAGCTTGGTTCCTCTGGCGATTTCAGCCCACAACTCAGCCCGTCCAGCCTCCTGTGCCACACCGAGCAGCCCGCCGGTCTGTACCGGTCCTTCGAGGGGTTTGTATCCCTCGGGACAGTCGAGTCGTCAGACACGGATCATCAGCCTTCTGGGTCCGGTAGGGGAGTGGTTCAACCAGGCCTCAACACTTAAAGACGGCCCTCGTTTCAGCCCATAGCCTGGAGTTCGGACCCTTTACACTGAAAGCAGTAGACCTGCCGGTCAGTACCGGTCATTGGGCTAGACGAGTTGTTTAACGAGCGCTCGCCGCTCATGCCCAGGTCTCCAGATGCCAGAGTAAAGCTTTGGTCCTACTAAGCCCGTGCAGGTTTGGCAGCAAGGCCCTATCCTTCATCCACAGAGTCCTAGCACCTAGGACAGAAGAGACTCAATGCAGAAAGAGTAGAAAGACAGACTCAGCAAGTACCATGGGGTAAGTGCACATCCACAGGGTAAGGGGATAGGCTAAGGGCTCAACGAGATATCACCAACTCCAGCTTGGTTCAAATCTTGGTTAGCAGCTCCGATCAACGCCTTGGTCAACGACGAGTCAACACGGTCAACCCCAGTCAACGCTTGGTCAACACCCTTGGTCAACGCTTGGTCAACCCTTGGTCAACCCTTGGTCAACCCTCTGGTCAATGCCCGGTCAACTCCTCACCTCGGCTATGGCTGCCGGCACCTCCACCTTCGTCACCCTCGCCGTCTACTTCCCCTTCCTTCACTTGCTTCCTTTTTCTCTTTCTCTCTTTTTTTTTTTTTTTT